AGCTTTCACCAATCATCTGCATCCTAAATGCCCCACCTTCCCCATCCCTTGCCAGGCCAAAATCCATAGGGGGGGGGGAGATGTCCTGCCAATGCCCCCAGCCCCATTTCAAGGGAGACTGGAGTTGTGCTTCAAGCAGTGAAGAATTCCTTGCATTCAACTGTCTGGGGAGGAAAATAGGCAGGGGGAAAGGGGGGGGGCTTCATTACTGACACAAGGTACTCACACACACACATACACACACACACACACACACTCTCTCTCTCTCTCGCCCTGTGCGAGTCTGGAGGTGGGGGAGCGCTCCCCGACTACACGGGAGAAGCAGAGCCCTAAACACCGAGGGAACCTCGCAGGTCTTCCCGGTGGGGGCTTCCCCCCTCCCATCTCCCACCTGGGACCCCCCCCGAAACACAGGTGAGGGGCTGGAAAGCAGGGGGACATGGAGGAGGAGGAGGAGGAGGAGAAGAACTGTAATACTGAAATAAAAAAAGATCCGAGGAAGGGGCGCCAGGGGCAGACCGGCCCCCCGTTTCTGTCCTTCCTCCAGAGACGAATCTCGACAAGGTCCTTAAGCATGATCCTTCACGGGGTGAGGGGGGTAACGCCCCCCCACCTTTGCAGTCCAAAGTCTCCCCCCGGCTCCCTCACGGGGGTAACGCCCCCCACCTTTGCAGTCCGAAGTCTCCCCGGGCTCCTCCAGGGGCTGCCTCCTCATCCCTGGAGAGACCCAGCCCAGCAGCCTCTGTCCGATCCGTCCTGGACCCTGGGCTGGGAGGAGGAGGGGGAGGAGGAGGAGGAGGAGGAGGGAGGAGCGGCCGGAGGGGAAGGTCCAGCTCTGGCCATCACATGATGCCGTTGGTGAGGTACTGGAACCCGTCGTAGAGCTTGGTGGTGAGGGACCGCATGCTGCCGTCCACCAGCTGCTCGATCAGCACCTGCAGCTGCTCCTCCGTCATGTTCATGTGGAAGCGCTCCTTCAGGTTCCGGATGGTGCTGGAGCCGTGGAAGCAGGGCAGCTGGGAGCCTGCAGGGCGAGAGGTAAAGAGGCAGGTCAGAGACCAAGAGGCCAACTCAGATCGGTTAACTTTCCCTTCTGCCCACCATCCCCATCCCGCGATCTCCCCATCGTCCAGTCATATTTGAAGACGTCGTTTTTGGTAACACTCCCTGCGACGGTTGGAGAGACCGAGAGGTGTGACGCTCCCTTCCCAGGTCCACGGCCTCGTCGGACGGCACGAAGCAGATTGGTTTTGGTTTCCCCCATCTTCCCACAGCTCCCTCCCCCCCCCCCNAACTTCATGACAGACTGGCATCTAGCAAAGCATAGACATCCCCCCCCCTCCCCTGAGGACCCCGGCCCACCTTGCTGCATGATCTCCACGATCTGCACCACCTTGTCCATGTGCTTCCGGGCGGCGATCAGGCCCTGCAGCATCAGCATCTTGTAGTAGTTGAACATGTCTCCCCCGATGCCGCCCATCACCTGCAGGGGGAGGGAGGGAGGGGCAAATTGTAAGGCAGGAAGACGGAAGGACCCTCACCGGACCCCCCCCCCCCCAAGAATTGGATTCCTCTGCATTATAGGTAGTCCTCGGTTTATTTCAACTGAGCTCAAATTTTCTGCTCTTGACCGAGACATTTCTTAAGAGAATTGTGCCCCGTTTTATGACCTTTCCTGCCACAGCTGTTCAGTGAATCACTGCAGTCGTTAAGTGATGAATACAGTGGTTAAGTGAATCTGACTTCCCCAGTGATACTGCGACCGTCATAAATATGAACCAGTTGCTGCCAAGGATCTGAAATTTGATCACGTGACCATGGAGGAGGCTGCAATGGTTATAAGCGTGAAGAACGGTCATAATTCCTTTTTTAGCACTATTTTAGGACCGTTTCCTCCGCGCTTCCCTCTCGGCCCTCCCTCCCCTGCTCGGCCGCGCCACTTACGTCCACAAACTCGGCGGTCAGCTTGAAGGCCGAGGTTTCGAAACCCAGATTCCGGGGGGAGCTGGACAGGATAAAGCCAAAGTCGATGTGGATGATGTGGCCGTAGGCGTCCAGCAGGATGTTGCCATTGTGCCTGGGGGAGGAGACGGGCCGGGCGGGGGGGGGGAGAAGAAAAAGCTAGTCAGGCATTTTGGTTTTTGCAAAGGAAGCCCCGTCCCCCCCCCTCGTGTGAGTTTGTTTTAATTTCTTAGAATGAAATGTAGCTCGGTCGGGAGATTTTTTTTATATATATATATTCAAATTTTTATGAATTTTCAAATAAACAGACAAATTACAGATATGGTATACATTAATTAAAAAAAAAACCCCATATTATATATCTATTCAGAGATGCTCAGCAGCCCCCCCCGCCCGCCTGCGTCCACCCTCTCTTTCACCCTTCCTCTCTTCTCCTTCTACCTACACCTCTCTCCTCCTTCCTCTTCTCAACTACCCTACACATCCCACCTCCTTCTTTTCCTCATCCTTCGGACGCAGTTTGGGGGCGCCAGCCGGGAGATTTTAAGGCCGAAACTGCCGCCTTCGTAAAGGCACTCGGTCCGTGCCCAGGAGGCAGAGCGCCTGCAGACTCGCCCCGTAAAGCCTCACCTGTCCTTCACCTGCAGCAGGTAGCAGACCAGGCAGTAGCCGGCGCAGCTCTGCACGAAGTTGCGCTGGGCGGTGAGGAAGCCCTCGGAGGTGAACTGGCCGTGCTCCTGCAGGAAGAAGTCCAACAGGGAGAGCAGGGACTGCTTCTTCACCTGGTGGATGGAGACGGCGTTGACCACCGGCTCGATCATGCCGCTGTCAGCCGAGATGACCAGGATTTTGTAGGGCTTGATCCACAGGGGGACCCGCTCCTGCTCCCAGATGGCCTGCAGGGGAAGACGGGAGGGCTGGGCGGATGGACGGATGGACGGACGGAGGCCAAGGGGGGGGGGGTCCCTGGCACAAACAATGACGTGATTTCCGCACCCCCCCCCCATACACACACACACCTGGTCTTAATTCTAAAGGCAGGTAGAGGAGATCTGAAGCCCCCTGACCCATCACATCTGTGGTGGAGAAAAGCCCCCCTCCAGCCTCCTCTGCTCAGTTGCTTCTTCCTTCCTTCCTTCCTTCCTCTCTTCCTTTCTCCTTCCCTTCTTTCCTTTCCTTTCCCCTGTCACTCCCTCCCTCCCTCCTTTCTCAGTCTCCTTTCCTTCCTTCCTTCCTTCCTTCCTTCCTTCCTTCCTTCCTTCCTTCCTTCCTTCCTTTTCCCTTGCCCTCTAATCATCCCTCCCTCCCTCCCGTCCTCCTTTCTCAGTCTCCTTTCCTTCCTTCCTCTCTTCCTTCCTTCCTTCCTTCCTTCCTCCCTCCCTTCCCTTCTTTCCTTTCCTTTCCCCTCTCCCTCCCTTCCTCCTTTCTCAGTCCTTTCCTTCCTTCCTTCCTTCCTTCCTTTCTTCTTCCTGTTCCCTTGCCCTCTAATCATCCCTCCCTCCCTCCCTTCCTCCTTTCTCAGTCTCTTTTCCTTCCTTCCTTCTCCTCTAATCCTTCCTTTCTCAGTCTCCTTTCCTTCCTTCCTTCCTTCTTTCCTTCCTTCCTTCCTTCCTCCCTCCCTCCCTCCCTTCCCTTCTTTCCTTTCCTTTCCCCTGTCCCTCCCTCCCTCCCTTCCTTACCTGCAGCTGCTTGAGCACCTGGAAGGCCAGCAGCTCCTGCCGGAGGTCGTCCCCACACTTGACGATCATGGAGAGGAGCCGCCAGTTGGGCAGGTGGCCGTAAGGGGAGCCCTCTCGGATCCTCCTGGGGGAGAGAAGGGAAAGATGGAGCCTTGGGCTGGCCCTCCCCGCAGGGAAGCCTCCGCCGCCCGTCAGCCTCTCTGGCCAACCCGGGAGGCCGACCGGACGTGGCAGCCGCCCTTCTCCTGTTCATTATTACCAAAGAGAAACCGAGGCCAGCCTGTCTGCCTCTCCTTTTTGTGCTTGGCCCTTTTTCTCTTGTTTAATGCCGCACTTTTCAACCTTGGCCACTTTTAAGTTAGGAGGACTTCAACTCCCAGGACTCTGCGCTGGCTGGGGAACTCTGGGTGTTGAAGTCCACCTGTCCTGTCCGAAGGAAGGCCCTCGCTGACTCCCAAGAGGCCAGCTGGGCTTTTCCTGGCCCTGCCCTCCACACACACACACACACACACACACACACACACACACGGCCCCCTCCTCACCTCACTTTCTCCTGCCAGGGCTCCTTCAGGGCGACGGCTGAGGGGTCCTCGGGGTCCCGCTTGAAGGAGGTGGGGGTGTGGGCCAGCTGCTCGGAGAGACGCCGCCTGCCGAAGGGAAGCGAGTTCAGATCCTTCTGCCGGGGAGGCCGGCTAAACTGCCAACCCCCTTCCGGTGCCCACTTTCTAACCCTGGTGGCTGCTGCTGCTGCTGCCCAGCTGGACAGACAGACAGACAGATGTGGCTTTTGAGCAGAACGGGGGGGGGCGTCCAGCTGTGTTTTGAAACCCCTCCTGAAGACCCAGCATAAACACCCCCTCCTCTAAAACCACTGAGGGGCTTTATTTCGGTTTGGAGAAGATGGACAGATTATATTCAGAGAAAGTATGAAATGAATAATTATCATATTGCCTTGGATTAAAATTTTTATTATTTTTATTTACTTGGTATAATTTATATATTGCTATATTTTATATTCCTGTTTGTTATTGTATATTAGAGTTAAAGTATGTTAATATTTGATTGTATTAAGTTTGGGTAGCTTTATTTAGATTGGGGATTTTATGTGCTTATCCCCAGTTCTGGGAAGTCTGGGGGGGAGAGGGGGGAAGGGGATGAAGGGGGTAGAGTCATATAAAATTTGGTGTATTGATATGTCATAGAGAAATAACGTAATTTTTTTCTTTGTGAAGAGAAGGTGGTCGGCTGGTGCCCCCAACCTGCATCCGAAGGTTGAGGAAAAGAAGGAGGTGGGATGTGTAGGGTAGTTGGAAGAGAAGGAGGAGAGGGGTGTGGGGAGGAGGGGAGGAAAGGAAGAGGGAAGTAGGTAGGAAGGGTGAAAGAGAGGGTGGATGCGGGGAGGGGGGGGACGGGACTGCCGACCACCTCTGAAAATATGATGTTTAATAGGTGTTTTTTTCCCTTTTTTATGTGCACCATATTTGTATTCAGAATTTGTTTATTTGAAAATTAATAAAAATTTGTGAAATAAAATAAAATAAAACCAGTGGGGGGGGGGCTCTGCTCACCTGATGTCCCCTGCAGCGATGAACACCGGTTCCTTGCTCTCCTGGCTGGTGATGCTGTCCACGGAGAACTGCGAGATGTTGTCGCAGCTGCTGGTGTGTATCTCGGGCAGCTGGAGGGCGGAGGAGGCAGGCCGCTGTGAGTGCCCGAGGGGGGACAGGAGGGGCCTTCCCCCCTCCCAGCCGCCTCCCCCTCCCCGCCACGCCTGCTCACCTCCACCTGCAGCTCCCCAATGTCGTCCACAGACCAGGCCTCGTCGTCGTTGTCGTAGTTGGGCACGGTGGTGAAGCTGCTGGCGCGCTGCTCGTAGGTGATGCCGCAGCCGGGCAGGTTCTCCACCGAGCGGGTGCTGCGGATCCGGTTCTCGGGGATCCGGGCCGGGACGTTGGTGGTGTCGAAGTTCTCGCATTCAAGCACCTCCACGTAGATCAGGTAGGGAGCCTGGGCGGGGGGGGGGAGAGGAAGGAGATGTGGGGAGGGTCCTTCTCTGGATGAATACAGGTAGTCCTCAACATACGGCGACCGTTCAGTGGCACTAAAGTTAAAAAAGGGACTGAGGCCCGTTATTCACTCTTACGACCGTTACAGCATCCCTACAGTCAGGTGATCGAAGTTGAGGCTTAGCAACTGGCATGTACTTGGGACAGTGGCAGTGTGGCCCAGGGTCACGTGATCCCTTTTTGTGAAGTCAATGGGGCAAAGCTCACTTGATGTGTTTCGCCCTTAACAACATAAATTCTGGGCTCCCCTGTGGTCATGCGGAGGACCCCCTGCGTGCTGCTGTTCCAGGGGAGTGGGAGGTAAGCCCCCGCCTGCCGCCCCCTCACCTTGTCTTTGGAGTTGAGGACCACCGCCTGGGTGTGGGGCACCCGCACCACGTGGTGCTCGAAGCCGGCGGAAGGCAGCCAGACCCGGGCGGGAAGCTTGTGGTTGAGCAGGGAGAGCTCGGAGATCAGTCTCTGCGTCTTCTGCTCCTTGGTGGGCAGCGTGGTCAGCCGCTTCCCGATGGCCATCAGCGACTTGATGAACTCTCGCTCGGGGGCCAGCCGGACGGGCTGCGCGGGGCGTTGGAGGAGGGGGCGAGAGGAAGAAAAGAGGGAAGGTGAAGCCCACCACCCATCGCAGATCTCAGAGCCTTTCAGCTGGACTGATTTTGCGGGGTGTGTGTGTGTGTCTGGTGAATCCCCTCCCTCTAATCGCACCAGATGTGCTGCAGGAGACGACAAGCTCAGCCAAAGGGGAGGCGTGTGGCCTCGTTCCCCCCCCAGGGGGGGGGAAGTAAAATCCTTGCAATGAACTCTGAACCCCAGACTTGCAGGTGGGGGGCTTGTAGAGCGACACTCGCTGTCCACCCAGGAGGGGAAAGACTAGGCCAGGGGTAGGCAACCTTGTCTCTTTTATGACTCGTGGACTTCAACTCCCAGAATTCCTGAGCCAGCCATGCTGAGGGGAAAGGGAGAGGTTTCCAAGCTGAGCCAGGCTGGCTCAGGAATTCTGGGAGTTGAAGTCCACGAGTCATAAAAGAGCCAAGGTTGCCTACTCCTGGACTAGGCTGACCCTTGCGCTCTGGATGTCCTGGGCTCTCGACACGCGCCTACGGGACGGAAAGAGGAGGCCCACGCCCAGCTCTGGGCAGGACTCGCACCCTCCACTCATGCCTTTTTTTTCCCCCCGCAGGAGCCTCCATTTGCTCCCCCACCAAGACGTGGGATGGGGACCACCCAGGCACGCTCTATCCGCAGCCTTCCTCCAGTCCAGGCGGCCAACCACACCGTACGCCAGTCTCCCCGCTGGGCACCGCCGGTGGAGCCCTGGGCTGTTGGCAGAGCTGAGGCCAGGTAGACAAGGCCCTGGCATGGATGCCACCTTCGTCCCTGCTGACCACGAGAAGATCAGGGCAAGGATGAGGCTGGGCGAGCCCCCCCCCAGAAGGTGGGGGGCGATGAAAAACTAGGAAACCAAGGAGAGCTCTTCAACACCCCCCCCACCGCCAAAAATCAGGGGCAGCTCTCCCAACCTCCCCATCCTCATAAAAGCCTCCACTTCCATCCAGTTTATTAACATTTATTTCTATCCGCATCGCCCTCACGCCCACACCCTGGAAAGAGGGATGACTCCGGAACAAGAATCAACTTTACGCAGAAGGAGAGGCTGCCGATTTGCAGAGGGGGGGGGTAGGATAGAGAGAGGAAACATTGGGGTTGAAACCCCTTGCCAAGCCCCCCCCCCATGATTTTCTCCCCGTTTGCCGGGCCCTGCGTCCCATCTCACGACGGAGGGGAGGGGGGGGGGAAGTAGAGGTTTGCAGAAAGAAAAAACTTGATTGGCGCGAGCAAAAATTTCAGCAGAAGGAATAAAACAAAAAAACAAAAAAACACACCCCGATTCTTAATTTGAGGCAGCAAAGAAAGAGCTGAAAAATCCGTACGGATTCCCAGGACATGCTAAATAAAAAAAAAAATGAATCTTGGGTTCCCCAAAAACAGCATTTCCTCTTTTTTTTCTTTTTCTTTCGGACAAGTGACCGGCCCAAACAGAAAAACTTTGCAAACTTTTAGAACTCAGATCACACGGGGGGGACTCACGGGGACCCTGCGACGACGACGACGACGGCTGTGAATCTGAAGATTGGTCATAATAAAGTGCTTGGGGGGGGGGGAGGGAAAGAATCCCTCCACCCCTAAATAAGTTTTTTTTTGGGGGTGGTGGTGCTGGGCTGTGGGAGCAGCAGCTGAGACCGTTCTGGAGAAAGCAGGCACTGTGCTGGGCCATGCAGAATTCCTCAAGCACATGATAATGGCATGGGGGTTTTTTTTTTGGTGGGGGGAGGCTAGAAGAGAGAGGCCCCCAGCAGTGCAGGATCTGGCTTGCAAAGGGGGTGGGGAGGAGGAGGAGGAGGCGGTGGGGGTGTGATCTGCCTTGCTGGCGTGGCTGATGGGGAGGGTCACGAGAGAGGAAATGCTGCTGT